CATTTTTTACTGACTATAGGAAGCCATTTAGGTGTCACCAGTAGACTCTCTTCAAACTACATACTGCGCAAATATCTGTATAACGTTTTTTGAGTGTTTCTTGGAAGCCAATAAAATGCCACGAATAGTCTCGAAAGAATCGTATTTGAAGTTTTAAGTTGACAGAACTTCGAGAGTGTGATCACAATGTAGATCACAGTATGCGCCCTTGCGTTAATCACTGTTTGACCTAATTTACTTTTATGGACTGAAGAATCTAGAAAACCTATGAACGCAAAGCCTAAATATCCATCTTATACTCATTAATTATTCATGAGCTCATCGACCAACCAGGGTTTCTTATTTGTACCACGTGCAGTAGTTTGAGGCCCCGTCCACACGTGTTCGGAAATTTTTGTATCCGTATCCGGAATTTTCGAAAACGGTCTCCAGAGTGGAAATTTTCGAATACGCCCCGAATACAGATACGTGTGGACGGTCGTATCCGCAAATTTTCGGATGCGATGACGTAAATACGATTTTGCGCATGGCTCAATAAGAAAAACTATCCGTCAAAGGGACTAGGCACTAGCGTGCGTCAGGGCGGATCAAGAAATTTCCGGATTGGTGTGGACAGCGAAAACGATTCGAATACGCTGCGTGTGGACACGAACATTTTCGTATCCGCAAAAACATTTCCGGATACGTGTGGACGGGGCCTGAAACCCCCATCAAATACGACCGCACCCATTTCAAAGTTCTAGTACTTTGAAATATCCTACTACTAGTCCTACTACTCGGGCTTTGAAATATTTCAAAGTACTAGAACTTTGAAATAAAAACAAACATAACAAAAAGAGTATAAGATGTCGTGTCAAATACTCGTCACTGTATTCTATTGGGGTTTCAAAATCCGAGTGGAATTTCAAATGCCTCGGCGAATAGAATACAGCAACTCGTATTTGGAAACATTACTTCTAAAACTGTATGTTATCACTGCAGTATTTAATACCGAACAAGCCTTTCTCAACATGGGAAACAGAAAAGCTGGCCTTGGTACACCTAGTAAAATGCTGCAAAATGTAATATATTCACAGTCGAACAACGTAGTTTCCTTTTAGATTGGAATATGAAGTATGATAATTGAGTTAGAAAGGTAATTTTTCTTTTTCATATTTTAGCCAGAAAATATCATATTTAGTTTCAGATCGCCAATCTCTGATCTTCTTCGACCGACAACGTTTTTTTACATAGGTGTATAGGAAAGAGTTAACTATTTACCTAAAACAGTACAAAAACAAGACTATTATTTCCCATTCAAGGACGTCTGCATTGAGATAAAAACAAGCATAAATCATACAAGAGCTGGCGTGCATGACTGTTCGGTGATTTTCGTAGTATATAGCTTAGAAATATTTTAATAGACGGTACGACATGCCGTAACATCGAAATGGCTTCCCATATGGTACTGACTTACAGCGCGTACACATTACGACATGCCGTAACAGTGAATTGGCTTCCTATAAGAATGGTTATCGTATGAGTGGGAAAC